AAAAAAAAAAAAAATCTTCATATAAATTATAACAGTTTAACCAAAACCGACGAATATCCATAAACAGGAGATTGTATTTTACGAGTCCGGGTGGTACGTGTACGTGTTATGCATAAGTATGTGCACAAGTGTCCTGCCAAATTAAAGTAGAGAAAAAGCCGTTTTGAATGAAATAGCACCCACGGGATGACACGGGATAGGTGTGTTGTGGCGATATTAGCGTTGGTCATACTATTGTTATATCGTGCGCAACAACTCTAGCAAGAGGGATACAATTTGACGGCAATAAGAATCTATTTTATATTCCCCTCTTGCGTGCGCATTTGCATATTATTTGTCAATATTTCAACTAAATGGCAACTCGGCACAGCCAACGAAACTTAAACATAAGAACCGTAAATAACTTATAGCGCTCCGCAAAGTTATAATCCATTTTGTATGTTAATAACTTCGGTAATTCGACAAACGCAAAACCAGAGAATAATGTTCGACGTTCTAATGAAAAGTAAAGTAATTAAAAATAATAATAATAATAATAATAATAATAACGACGCGTTTCTACCGATCGAGACAGGTACTCGTACCGACATAAAAAAAAATTAATAATTTCGTTATTATTGTTCTCGTAGTGAACTCAGTGTGTAGTAAGTAAAGTGTACACCGTTTTGCAATATTGATGTTTTGAAAATAATTCTTTTTTATATTACTTTCCGCGTTATCGTGCATACTTGACACTTCCCCTATTACTTTTGTATATCGAAAATTACGTTTTATTTTGGCATTCCCTTAGGAAATAACGGCTTGCTCTCGCGTTATTATTTATTCAAAAGCCAAAAACGAATATGTTTTTCCTTTTCTGGCTCCCGTTCAACTCTCGACAATATATTTATTATATATACGATTGAACAAAACTCCAGAGCAATTATCTCACATAAATGCCCCTTTGTTTGTCGCTCAAAAATGAAAAAAAAAAAAAGTTTTCGCCAAAAATAATACATTTATTCGGCCAAAAGTAACTACTATTTATGTATTTATATATACTGTAAAATAAATTGAATTGGTTGGAAAACTCATTTATCTGCAAGGTCTGAAAAAATTGTATAAAATATTATGTATTTTTTAAACTAATTAAAAAGAGATGGCTTCTGGCTACAAAACATGAAATGTGATAAATCAACATTTTATACGGGTTTAGCCAGTTACTCAATTCACTGGAATTGTTGTAACCATTATTGTAACCAAGTTACATAACTAAGATACGCGTAACTCTAATATGCCCAGTTTTATATATAATTAATAAAATACAAGTCCTTTGTAGTAAAGTTAATGTAAAATACGTTTGTTTTAATGTATATTCTGTACAATATGCAAATAAGTTAACCACAACGTTCTATAAGAAAAAATATGAAAAATTCTCATTTGTTTAATTTAATTTTAATAACAAGACGTATACATTTTTGTCAGATTATTATTTAAAATGTTAATTTACATTAAAATTATGTTTTAAAAACAAATTAAAGTGTGATTAAAAGGACTCTCATACTTGATTCCAGCATAATTTTGTTCTATAATTTTGACCCCAGCCAAACTTAGGTACGATAATTTTACAAACCTAATAGTATTGGAAAGTGGCCATGAACCATGTTCCAATTATTTTATTTGAATTATATTTTATTTTCTACATACAACTTTAGATGAATAATACCTCATAATAAAATCGTGTTGTTATTTTAATGTTAAATTTAGGGCAAATTTGAAAACTTAAATAAATATTTACTTCAAAACTTTACAAACGTAAAATCGTGCACCGGACTCCCAACTAGCTAAAAAAACGTTTCAACCAGATGTTGAGTTATAGCTTAGATGCAATAGTTGTTTATAAATGAATTTCAATTTATAACATCAAACAACTTTTATTTTAATTATATATTAGTTGTGAAGCACCACCAAAAATAATTAAAAGATATAATAGTCCAATTATTTATGTTTAACGACGAATGTGCAAGTTATTTTTTTTAATAAATTGTTTAATTAGTATACTCTATCCCAATTGAAATTTGTACAAGTGTTCTAAAATAAACTTGAGATTTAAATTGGCAAAAATTTGAAACACAAATGAATATATTTGAGTGTACATTTTTGTAAAGAAAAACTAAAATAACATCTTAAAACGTATATAATATATTAATTAGAACTAAATAAATAATTGGTTAAATTTTCAAGATAAATCGAGGCAAATTAATACAATTTAATTTAATAATGTAATACATTTTTTTTTAAATTTTTATTAAAACATTTTTTTTTTATTAATTGCTTTTGTGATTACACATTATAGCAAAAACATGTTTTTTCGTATGATTATTTTGGTTTTTTTTTATTGAATATTATAAAAGTAGAAAAATATTTACTTACTGGCTAAAATTTAGCCATAATTAATATGATATAAATATGTAATTGTACACGATAAAAAAAAGCCGTTTTTTATGTTAAAAATGTATAACGTCTGAATAAGTATTTATAAATTTAAATAAAGAATATTGAATACTTATTAATACATAATTTGAAGAAATACAAATGTATATTTTTGTATTTATATTTTATTCTTAGACCGACTAAATTAATATATTATGTTTGCATGTGCTTAAGTTAATACCATAGTAAATGACGCGAGTGTTGTGTATCTAATGGATGAAAAAGACATTTAAATTATCTCTTAAAACATTATGTAGATAAATTATTATACATTTGACAATTTAAGCACCTACTTACATAAATAAATAAGTACTTTTCCCAGAAATTATTTCACTGTGTAAGCTCATTTTTGAAAATTAATGCATTTAGGATTAAACTTTTGAGTTTTCAAACAAAATGCGACAACGCGTTTTAGCTAATTTATATGAAATTGCTTTACACAAAGTTTTTCATTTATGAATATTACTTTGAATACATACTAAAAAACATTATGATAATTATAAAACTAACTAGTATTAATGACATAAGTAATAATAAACTATCTGAATTAAAATAAACGAGTATATCATCTTGTTTAAAGGAACAGTAAATACTAAATATATTTAGTTTCAAAAGAGTTTTTAGAAAACTAAGCTTATCATCGTTTTTGTGTAAAATTATGTATGTTCTAGTGAAATAAAATATCATACAAATATTTTATGGTATAAATTATTTATGAATAATGATTTGATATGTTTTACAATTATATTTTTTTTGTTAATTGTTGCGTTAAATTATCAAGAAAATCGCTTAAAATATTATTGACAGTTATTGCACATAATTTGTTAAACCCAAAGAAGTATATCTCTTAGATTTTGGATATATTCAATAATAAAAGCAACAATGTAATGTAAGCATAGATTTTTTGGGTCATTTTTTAAATCATCTCACACGAGTCAATGAACTTTAATAAGTAATACGGGAGAGTGGCATATAGTAATAAACCTCGTGAACTTACCCCAATGTTGTTTTATTTGAAAGGGGATACGGCGATACTTTAGTAATACAAGAACTGCAGCTGAAGTCGTACTAAAGAAAATAAGATTTACCGTACATGAACGTATCCTTCATTTAAATACGTAATTGATTTAAGAAGCATAAACAAAGTATTTAATTATAATATTAATGAACAGAATAATAGCGAATAAAGGGAAATAAAGAAAAAGTTTCCCTCTTCTCGGAGAAAGGATTTTTAATATATATATATGTATTTTCTGTTTGTTATTTTAATAATCTAAGGATAACTTTATATAAACTTGAAGCTAATTCAAATATTTTTTTATAAAATTATACCGTGCTGTTATATTAAGTTGATATAATATAATATTTACTTGCTTTAGAAACTAACGCAAATCGACTTTTTTTTTCATGAGTAAAACCAAGTATGTATAAAAAAAACCTGAAGTAACTAACAACATGATAAATAATTATAAGCCTCCATACAAAATCCAAACAATATTATTTCATTCGCGCACCATCCTATGTAGGGGCATTTTTAGTGAAATTTGTGATGCTGAATGGTAAATAAAATTGTGGCCTGGGTGCGTAATATTAAGGATATAACCAGCCAAAAAACGGCTTATATGTACAATTTTTGGGTGTTTTTCTCGATTTTGAAGAGGAAGAGTGAAATTTTGATATGTTCGGCGTATTATGTACTTTTTAGGTACGATATCTAATTTTTAAATCAGCTGCATGAATAAATCGGCCCAGAAGTTTCGGAAATAGGTCGGGCATAAAAATGAAAAATACATAATTGGAAAAACAATACCTTTTCTCTGCTCCGCATGGAAGCTAAAATTTATTTAACACGTGTTACGTATAAAATACAAAACATACATTCATAAATTTAATAGGAAATACATTTTACATAAAATATAAATTAACCTTATTCTTATTCAAAAACTGTTTTTTTTTTTAAATAAAACTAATATTATGCTTAGATAACTTCCCTCAAACTCGAACAAAGCATTTAAAAAGCATAAAAGTATTTTTTTTAATTATTGCTATACGGGAGGATATTATTTTGCAAGTTGGATCACATCTATTCATCTACTTACTTGTTTTGTGGAGCGTTTGTACATAAAATGTGTACACTTATTTTTTGTAGGACATCAACATGAATTGCTGTGCTTACAGTATAAATAATTGACTTTTTTCATTCCTTTAGTTTATGAAACATTTATTCGCAATATGACAATGTTAACACATTATAACTGAATTCCAAAAAAAAAATAATCGATACTATATTAATCCTAGTGAAGATGTATTGAAAAAACATAATGATAATACTGAAACGTAACATCTTAATTAGGTGAAGGTAGTGACTACTAGGTAGTGGAAACTATGTGTAAAATAAAGTGACAACTTTAGGGAAATTATAATTGTTCTAACCGTGTGCATCTGTAAAATACAATCTCATAGTATTGTGTTGATAAAATTCAAAATTCAAAAGAATTCGTTAACAGTAAAACAATAGGACGACCATCCTCGGGCGAACAGGTGTTGACATTATGTACCAGGTGCATCATCCGGACATTACGAACCACATGTCGCGTCATCTCCTCTGATTCCCCCTTCCTCTGCCTGCGTTTCATGGTCGTTACCCTATTATAAACAGTATGGCTTTTATTTACACACACACACATACGAGTAGGCCTACACGCTAGCAGCACACGTGTAAACACGCTTTGGTTAAGTTGGGTGTCACAATAGTTACGGGAAAAAAAATTAAAACCCCTACGGCAAACCATATAATAAATTAGTGTAACTGCGAATGCGGCCGAAGGAACTGGATATGATAATTGAACTTGGTGCCAAAATATATAGAAAATGAAAATTTTTTTTCAATTTTGTATAGGAGCTCAAGTATTTAATATATATATATTAAAAGAATATTACTTATAGAAAGTTTTTGATAATATAAAAAGCATTTTATCGATTCTAGTTCACAATTTGTCGATGGCATCTAATTTATAATTTCCTTTCTTTCTAATTCAACGGGTTACTTTTTCGATTAACTCGATATGAAAATAGTATAATAATAACTTATTTCGAGAGCAATATTATTTTATAGTACACCGTTTTTTTTTTTTTCTAGTCATACACATCCGGGACGAACAATAATGATAGAGTCTGGTGCTATGGTGGTCGTGGGGCGTGTTGTACGGACAAGATCGGAGGGTGTTATTATACCTAAGAAAGGTTGATCGGTACGTTACGGCCGTAGGATTTTAATGAAACTAATTTCAAAGAAAATATCCCATATAAGTATTCCTCTCCTCCTCTCAAATTAACAACAAGGGTAACGGCTATTATGTTGGACACCTGCGCGCGGGTTATGTAAGGAAGTGTCGTCATCTGTTGACGGCGTACGATTTTCATAATAGAATAATTATTATTAAATATGCTATAATTAGTATTATTGCTATGCAATAAAGCCGGAACACGGCCAAATCACAATTATTTTATTGTTTTCTCGTGTCCGTTATGGCTAACTAAAAACTGACATGAACTGACCTTACATAGGGCAAATAAAAAAATGGGTTTTGTTTTCATGGTAGACCATTTAGACGAGATTGCATTGATTTATGAAAGTGAATGTTGGTCATTAAGTAAGTGAGTATAAATGCGTTGATAAGAATGATATAACGAGAGTAGATAGGGTTTCACAAAGTGTTGGTTTTAATACTGTTGTCGCATAAAAAAAAAATTAAGTGTATTTAGTTATATTGGCGATCATTTGATTTTGGCGCTATAATTTACCACCGTTTCTTAAAATTACAACATATTTTTACTCTTTTTCTACCGTTTGATTTTACAATACGTTCAATTTTTGTTTGCAGAATAATACATACTAATATTTCGTCGTACAGAATAGGACGTTCCTTAACGGTGTCAATCAATTAAGTGATTTAAATTTCAATCAAAATTTACATTTAACTTTCATTCATTAAAAATGATGAGAATTGATGGTTAAAATACGAATAGTGGGTTAATAAAGATTTATTATGGAACGCTTAAAATACATGCACTTGACACTTATCTGAGAGGCCTACTGGCAGAGTTGGGCATTATATTTTAGTTAGTATTTTATTTAAATAATGTTTCGAATAAAAGTTGATTATTCGACCATACCGAAAAATGATTAAATTAACTATTATACGTGATTAATATCATTCAATCATGACTAATTTAACTATTATTCGCGTTAGCTTTTTTAGTAATTTTAGGGGAACCAGAAAAAAACACTTAAGATAAAAATGACATGGTTTTCAAGTTAGAATAAAATCATACATAATAAAATTAAATTGTGGAAAAATGTATTTCATCAATCTCTAATAACTTTATTCGTGTGTACCTACAAAAAAGTAAATTTTTTAGTCATGACTAATTTAACTATTGGTCATGATTGATTTTTTCAACCATGATTGATTAAACTTTTGTTCATGATTAACTTTTTCAATCATAACTAATTTAATCGTGCTTCAAAGTTGAAATTTGTATTCATGATTAATTCTATTTGTTATTGTTTGATTAAAAAATTAATCATGACTAAAAAGTTAACTTTATGTGATGACTAAAATGTTTAGTCATCGAGTTAACTTTTAACTTAAATAAATATGCCCATCTGCTGGTTAGTTCGACAAATTATTTTGTTTTTTTTAGTGGTGTTATTGTATATTTATAGAGCAACCTATATTTTATTTCAGTCATTATTATTATATTTATTAATACTCTTTTCTTTAATTACCACTGTTTGGAAGTGATGTGTTTAACTATCAACGAAAAAAGTGTTTTTTTTTCTTACAATTTTAATAGAACATGATAATATGTCTGTTGTATTAAATATACTTAATTACTACACAAATTTGTATTCACCATTCACCCCGGCTGCCGGTAGTTCTGAAAATCATTTAATGAGATTAATCGAATTGCTATCAGAATCGAGTTTATCAATAAAAGAATATTCATATTTATAGTACTTTATCTACAAAAACCTATTAATTTAAATAAATCATTATTGCAGCGTTTTCCTTTCATTATGGCCGGAACGCATATTAAATTTTGAATTTCCAACGTATAGCGCATAAAGTTTAATATGTTAAAAGGATTATAATTTCCGCCAACTTCGATAACCATTCATTACTATTAATGTTGTTGTGATGAAATATTATTACATCGTGAGCTATAAATTAAACAGAATTTTCCCAATTATAAATAAGTATAATAATTATAAAATAAGTTTCAGTATTTTATTTTTTATTTAATAAATTATTTGTATTATTTACATCCGAAACAAAATCATTATTATGTAATATAAAACGTTCTAAAATTATTATTATAATTAGAACTCGGACGTTTAACGACCATAATAAATGTAATGAAATATGCATTTTAAAATGTAAAAATATGCAATTATACGTTTTTATTGAAATCGGCTAGAAATGTTAGTTAGCTTCAGTAATTATTTAAAAGGTGTTTTATGTACCAGGATAACATTAAATTACAAATATATTGATGATGTTTTGAAATTTAAAAGAACAATAATGGTTATTTTAGACATTTTGAACAATATTGTACAACCAGAATTTTTGTATGATATTTTTTCTCAAATTGTGTATAATTTCCTTGAGCTCATACTTGTAAACACAAAATAATAATAAAATGGAACATTTTTATCAATATTATTCTTACAAATATAGCATATTAAATCTATAAATAATCATTTCAGGCAAATATACGTTCAAAAGTGTCAAATATGCAAATATATTATGCAATATAAGTTTGCCGATTTGAAATCTAGTCTTTTATAATAGAATTTTTATCGTAATCCGGTATAAATATGATTTCACTAAAAAAATATTATGCAAAGTCATTAACATCCGAGTTTTAATTATAATTCTATCTTAATATCATTTGAGTTTTTGTACAGGAATAATAATTTTTAGGTGTTCTTAATTTTATAAAATAAAATAAAAGTAGAATTACTCTTTTTTGCATTTAAGTTATCACATTTTTATCTAAAATTAAATTTAATCTTAAACTTTTAATTCATTTATTTGTCGTTGCTCCAAGTTTTTAAATCGTAGTTTTCCTGAAAAAAGTTAAACGCGAATAGCTCCATGTTGTCACTATCCGAAAACGGTTTTGTAAACAGAAATTGTTACACAGACAATTTTGTAATATTGAACTGTATATAATGTAATAATTTTAATTTGTAGCTTATACATGTACGAATACATTTTAAGGACGACGAAGAGAGATTCGAAAAAGGCCATTAAGATAATAACACGATGATGGAAAAGGTTTTAATCCTATCTGGAAACAAGGCATTGGAGTGTGGGGTGGAGTGATTTTAATAAACGATGGTTTTAGTTTGTCCGCGTGGTCTGCGGTCGTCGAATGGTTCTGTTTGAAGAGGGAGAATATTGAAATTCCTCATCGTAGGACTGGGTTTGTGTGTACAAGCAAAATTCCATTACAAGTCAGTATTAATAATATAAAAAAAAAAAAAATGAGAAGAAATATGAATGTATTATTGTAGAATAACGGGCAAAGAGATGTGGGGAATAAGTTGCCAGAGTATTTTTTTCCTTTTAATATTTCTACATTTTTATCATATTTATTCATAATATTTTAAAGTTTCTTACGATAGTATAATGCAAACAAAAGTTTAGTATAATAACCAAAGTTGTTCACAAAGCTATTTTCCCGGCAACGCCGCTAAGACTTTAAACTAATGGTAATAATAATTGTTTATAATAAAAACTTTGATCTCTTCAAAAAACAGTATTATTATAATAGTGTATTATGTAAGCGTAAAAAAAATCGATAACTTTAATCATACTTACAATTTGCCAACACAATAAAACTATAACGTTGATAATATAAATAAAATACTCGGAAATTCTCGGAAAATATTTACAAGTTTATAGCTTTTCTTTTTGAAAACGTTTTTATTTGTGTACATGTAAAATATTATAAAACATAGTATTTACCTTTTTTAGTATTTTCCAATCAACTTTTGAAACTAACGTAACTACATAATGAGTTAATTTTTTAATAAAGAATAATTTTCTGAACATTTTGATTGGTCGATAACCAGTTTTGGATATTTTCTTTTAAAGTTATTATAGTTTACAATTTAGGACGAGCGGTTGAGCGCGGTTGAGTCGTGCGTGCAGATAAAAAAAATCTGCACTCCACCTTACCTACCTAAATTTTAGACTTAAATAACATAAGAACTACTTACTGAAAACCGGTTATGAATGAGTCAACATTTTCAGCCAATTGTTCTTAATTTAAAAAGTTGATAACATACATAGGTTATCATTAATTTTCAAAAATAGACCAATTTGAATATAATAATATTGTAATATAGCGTTAACGAAAAAAAAATGTTCAAAAAGAAAAATTACAAAACTTCAATAATTTTAAGAGGAAACTGATGTAGGTCGTAAGAATAATCACCCGGTGTAATATACATACAGTACCAGTGAAGATGGCCGAGTTTAAAGTCAAAATTCCAGTGTCTTTTGAATAAAACGTAAAAAAATAAACAAAGTATATTAAAACTAAAAGGAAAAAATAAATTAAGTAGTCTC